CACCATGCCCAGCTAATTTTTTTGTAGTTTTTTTAGTAGAGATGGGGTTTCACCATGTTGACCAGGATGGTCTCGATCTCTTGACCTCGTGATCCACCCGCCTCGGCCTCCCAAAGTGCTGGGATTACAGGCGTGAGCCACCGCGCCCGGCCTACGAAAAACCTTTTTCAAAGGGACATAAGTATGGTTGCTATGTCTTATGGAAACAGGTTCTTAAAACCACAGTTTGAGAAGCCCTTACCAACTCTGGCCTACAATACCAAAATAGTTTGCAATAAATATCAACGTCTATTTTTTTTTTTAGATAGGATCTTGCTCTGTTGCCCAGTCTGGAGCGCAATGGTGCAATCACAGCTCACTGCAGCCTTGACCTCCCAGGTTCAAGCGATCCTCCCATCTCAGCCTCCCAAGTAGCTGGGACCACAGGTGTGTGCCACTATGCCCAGCTAATTTTTTTTTTTCCATTTTTGGTAGAGATGGTGTCTTACTATTTGACTAGGCTGGTCACGAACTCCTGGCCTCAAGAGAGTCTCTTGCCTCAGCCTTCCAAAGTGCTGACATTACAGGCATAAGCCACTGTGTCCGGCTATATCAATATGTTTTAAATCTCTCCCCCATATTGCCTTCTAAGCTTTTTAAAATAGCCCTTGATCCAAGATGCTTTCAGTTCCATTACCCTGCTAATTATCTTCATAACAGTTGTCACTATCTGAACTTATCTATTTATTCACTTATTTACTTTCTGTCTCCCACTAGAATAGGAATGGCAAGACAATTTTTAATCCATATGATTTTAGTCAAGCCATTTAGAGTTTTCTTACATTATGAAAGACACATTTTGTTTACTTACCTTAGTTGGAAAAGGAAATTTGGAAGGTTCTGTTTTGCATGGTGTATGAATAGCCGTTAGAGGGGGAGGCCATGAATGCGTCATCTCCTGAAATGTAATTATTACAGTTTGTTTTCAACCAGGTCAAGGATAAAAATTATATAGCTAAAAACCAGATTTGTATTTATAAATACTGGTTTCATGACAGCTCCTCCAAAATTCTACATACTTAATAAATATTAAGTACAATTGTGTGCAAGGCACTAGGTGTAGGTAATAAGAAGATTAATAAACACTCCCTGGCTTCAAGGAGTTTACAATTCAAATGATGAAACCTGTGAATTGTTACAGAAATCAGCCTGTAATCAAATACAAGGCACATAATAAAACACTAATAAGGAAGAGCTTGCTGTGAGAGTAGGAGGAAGGGGACAATGATAAGGAAAACAGCTAACATTTACTGTGTACCTTTAATGGGCCAGGCACTGTGCTAAGTGTTTTACATGTTTATTACTCATTTCATACTCACAATGACATTATGAGGTAGATACCATTATTATCCTACCTCTACTTAGGATGACACTGAAGCACAAAAGTTATTTATTCAAGGCCATACACTTAGTAAATAATAAACATTGTATTTCATCCTCAAAAGTCTGGCTATAGTCTACATGCTCATAGAAAAATTTTGACAGGCGAAGAAATCAGAAGAGAAATTTCAAAAGCACATAGGAAGAAAACAGAAAAGCAAGACCCTAAGTTTGATTTTATTCAATGCCTTCTGTCTAATCTTAATGCCAAATATGTCTGGGTGAGGGCTAAGATAATCTTACCAGCCCTCACCCAGACGTATTTGACTAGCTGAGGAGACAGAGGTATCAGAATAAGGAGAGAGTGTTTTATTTCTGGCATTTAGATCAAAGTAAGCCATCAGTTAAATTAAGAAAATACAACAAATTAACAGTGGTATAACGCCTACGAATTTATCCCATAGCAATATCTATACAGTTTTGTAAAGATACATGTACAAGGGATTCACACTTCAAAAACTGAAACAACCACACAAACAAACAAACAACAAAAAAAAACACCCTGAGCTGAGAAAGATCATGAAGAAAGGCTTTTCATGCTTGATGCTTATATGCCTGATAAACAAAAAAGGCTACAAAAACCACAACCTTGCACAAAGGTCATCAAAACCTTAAACCAAAAAGTATTTCCACAAGGACATCTGTCCAGCCTGTCCAACCTCAGACTGGTGTCATCCTTACTACTGATCTTTGTAGCCAAGAATAATTATTTCAAAAACAATTATGTAATCTTCCTCATTGTTCCCTTTAAAAACCTTTGTCTTTCTTTGCCTCCTTGAATACACACACAGACTTGTATGGCACACATATTCCCGTTGCAATGCTCTATTACCATTGTCTTTTCTTTTAGAGAGCCTCTGTTATTTAGGTTGACACCAACAAAGTATTGATTAAATAAATTATCAGACATCTATAAAACAGAATACCAAGTAGACATTAAAATGATAAATTTAACTATTAATATGTAATGATGCCCACAGTATTTTGTTAAGTGACAAAGACAAATCAGAGTCTATGTCCTAGTAAATGTTTATAACTTGCTTTGGGCAACAGAATGACAGAAGGAAGAAGAGATGAGGGCATTTGATATATTACTAATTGAACCTCTTAAAATAGCCATCTGTACAAAATTGCTCTTTATTCCCTTAAAATGCTTTGTTTTTTTAATAGAATTTCACTTCCTAATAGTATATAATTGATTACTTCATACATCCAGCTCTAGAATATCAGCTCAAAGACATAACAGCTATCATTATGACCACTGTATTCCCAGTGGCTGACACAAAGTAGGTGTTCAATTAGCATGCCTTGAATAAATCATTTTTTCAATAAATAGACATTACTTTTAGAGTAATTTATTTTTCTTTAAGTTCATCACAGAGTTCCTACAAATGATACAACTACAAATACAAAGAAAACATGAAGGCAACACACACCTGAAGTTCCTTGCATACTACAGATAGGAAAGGGAAAAGGAAACAGAAATTCATAAACTCAGGTTTTTAGCATTGGCATTTTATATCTCAAATGTCAAAATTCTCAAATAAAAATTTGATCTAATTCTCCAACTATCATTGAATAGACTGAGCACCTTTTAACTAAAGGCGAAGTGCCAAGTCCCCTGTGCACATAAAATGTAGGTGTCAATAACATTAAAGAGATCATTAAATGTAAGAAAATCTTCCAGGTACTAATAATTCCATGCACTGTTGAGGATTCAGAGGAAAATATTACGCTCCCTTACACTTTTTATATACGTGGCAACTAAGAAATGAATGAGATTCAAATGAAAGAGCAGTCACTGTAGTCTCAGAATCTGATACGAAGAAGGATTTCATTGGGATTCCAGGAAAAAACAATCTACATATAACTGAAGAAGAAGGAAAAAGATTCCAAACTTACTTTATTTAAGGAGGTAAAACAGCAAGAAAGTATGTGGCTTAGGGAAATCAGTTTTGCCAAACCTCTTTCATTTTCAATCAGTAATGAAAGAGATTAGGACTGGTCTATGAACATTAAATTTGGATACTATTCTTTCTACAGGTTTTAGAGAGCCACTGAAAATTTTTAAGTAAAAAATTAATTTATGAAGACCAGGGCCTGAAGTAAACAATCAGGAAGCAATGCAAAAGACTATAAGCAGGGAGATTCTGGAGGCAGAAAGGCTGAGTGAGGACTCGGTGTTATAATTATTGAAGCTCAAGGTTGCAGAAATGGAAAGAAAGGAATGGATATTTAAAAAACAAAAATTTCAAAGTCTACATCTAGTTTTGCAACTACATAGAACATGAGGAAGAAATCACAGATAATTAGGATTCTACACTTACAAGCATGGGAAAATGGTGTACTACTAATCCAAGGAAGTCTGATAAGTATGCTTTAGACATGTTGAGTCTGAAGAAGCAAAGAGAAATAAATCCCAATGGAAACCCAGCTAAGAAGCAATGGAGACAAACCAAAACCCAAGAGGTCAATGCAGGAGAGAAAGCCTAAACAGCTGTCTAACAGATAAAGCCAAGAATGGTGGAAAAGGCAAGTCAAAGAGCAGAAAGAGCAGAGGCTAGAAGAATGCACCTGCACTTAAAGGATAAGAGAAGACACAAGGTTTCTAAAAAGGGCAAAGAAAGAGAGGCAAGAAAGGTAGAAGGCAAATAAAAACAATGAAGCATAACAACAGTCAAGTACAGAAGAATGTTTCAAAAGGAAAAAATACACAGCAGAAAGAATAAAAAAGAACTCAACTGATGCCTCAGGATGGAAGGAGAAAGATAATGACCACAGAGAAACAGGTTCAGCAAAATGGTAGAGGTAAAAAAGAAATTACAGTGGGCTAAAGGAAGGAATGGGAAAGAAAACAGTGGAAGAAACCAATGCAGGTAGTCTTTCAAAGGTATTCACAGTGAAATAGGGAGTACAGACACAATTTCAGAAGCTCACAAAAAAAAAAAGAAAAGAAAATTAAGTAATATGTGATTAACAGTTTACAAAGCAAAAAGTAGTCACTGTCATTCATTAATTCACTGGACTTTCTTTTTCCAATAGCATAATGTGCTTCTTGATCATGTGTCGATTTTAAACATATTTCACTAAATATCCAAAATGTTGGCCAGGCACGGTGGCTCATGCCTAAAATCCCAGCACTTTGGGAGGCCAAAGCAGGTGGATCACCTGATGTCAGGAGTTCCAAACTAGCCTGGCCAACATGGTGATACCCCATTTCTACTAAAAAAAAAAAAAAAAAAAAAAAATTATAGAAATTAGCCAGGTGGGGTGGTGGGTACCTATAATCCCAGCTACTCGGGAGGCTGAGGCAGGAGAATCACTTGATCTCCAGAGGCAGAGGCTGCAGTGAGCCGACATCATGCCATTGCACTCCAGCCTGTGTGACAGAGCAAAACTCTGTCTCAAAAAAAATTAAAAACAAAAACAAAAACAAAATGTGTAAAACACAGCCAGACACAGTGACTCATGCCTGTAATCCCAACACTTTGGGAGGCCGAAACAGGCGGTTCACCTGAGGTCAGGAGTTTGAGACCAGCCTGACTAACATGGTGAAATCCCATCTCTACTAAAAATACAAAAATTAGCTGGGCATGGTGGCGGGCACCTGTAACCCCAGCTACTCGGGAGGCTGAGGCACAAGAATCACTTGTACCCAGGTGGCAGAGTTTACAGTGAGCCAAGATCGTGCCACTGCACTCCAGTGTGGGCCACAGAGCAAGACCCCATATATTATTAAAAAAAAAAAAAAAAAAAAAAAGTGCAAAACTGGAAGGAAATCTATTACTGTAAGATTTGACCAGTATGTACAGATGAACTAAAGCAAGGTATTTTGATCAAAATGGTTTGACTGATAACTACTGAGCTTTTTGCACTTCAAATTATTAACAGTTAAGCATGAGAAAGTACAGTTATAATTGGCTGGTTCATGTTTTCCAGGCAAAGTAAGTGTTAAGACTAAAATTTGTTTTACTTAAAAACAAAGAATGCAGCCGGGTACAGTGGCTCACACCTGTAATCCCAGCACTTTCAGAGGCTTAAGTGGGGGTGGATCACCTGAGGTCAGGGATTCCAGATCAGCCTAGCCAACATGGTGAAACCCCATCTCTACAAAAATATAGAAGTTAGCTGGGCATGATGGCGGGCGCCTGTAATCCCAGCTACTTGGGAGGCTGAGATGGGAGAATCATTTGAACCTGGGAGGTGGAGATTGCAGTGAGCCAAGATCGAACCATTGCACTCCAACCTGGGCAACAGAGTGAGACTCTGTCTCAAAAAACACAACAAAAAAACACAAAGAACAAAGCTCTTTGAAGGCAAATGGTAAACAAACCATGTGATTTAGAACCTATATAAGCAACAGAGAGTACATTATTTATGATGGGCATAAGTTACACATATTAGCAATCTGTTGCTTCAGATCCTTTGTGAAATATTAGGTAGAAGAAGGATAAGAGGGTAGCACAGCATAAAAATTTAAAGAGCTTAAAATGATTTTTTTTTTAAACTTACTTTTAGGATTTCATCCACACAGCTCACATCACCAGAAGCTGATGCCTTAAGAGAAGAAGCAGCACACATTAGATTTTTATCAGTAGACTTTTAGTATTTGCTTCACAGACTTAAAAACATTATTGAAAGTATTTATGACCCCACTACTCTAATCAGAACACTGGTTAGAATCTTTGGATTAATTTCCTTAAATACAAATTTTTCAAGCACCGGAAAATTCTAATCACTAAACCATACAAAGCTAAGGGAACTTTAAAGTTTTCAAAGGTTTTAAGTTTTTTATCTTATATTTTAGATTAGAAATAATTTTTAGAATGTAATTTTTCAGGTGTGCAGCTTATCCAAAAATTTAACTTATCTATATATAAAAGATATCATGATACTGAGATACATCATTTCATATAAACAGAGTTAACCCATTTATGCCAGAGATTGCAAAGTTTTTTTGTGAAAAATCAGACCTTGGCAATGACCTTGAGCAGTAGGCTATAAATAACAAGCTTAGCAATCCAATAATGAAACACTAGGCATAAATGGGTTAAACAAGTATTACTGAAAGACTACTGGGGTAGAACATGGACATTTTACACAGTCTTTCTAAATCACAAAAAGCAAATTATTTATTCTAATGCACAAACGGGAATTAGAGAGCTGAACTCCAGTCTAGCTCTAAAGATCATGTTGTTTAAAGAATGAAGAAATTACCATTTTACTGTTCTCTTGAGAGGTGTAATTAGATAACAAATGCCACTCAAAATGAGTTTCCCAAGGCCACTGGAAAGATGTTTTAAATGTTTTCAAAACAGCATTTTACATTACCCAGATTCTTCCCTCCACCCTTTTGAGCTAAGAGTTATAATTTTTTGGCTACTGACATTACTTTCCAAATTTTTTTTTTAATTGCACAAACTACATCAAAAGAGAAAATTTGGGGCTGGGCGCAGTGGCTTACGCCTATAATCCCAGCACTTTGGGAGGCCGAGGCAGGCCAATCACCTGAGGTCAGGAGTTTGAGACCAGACTGACCAACATGGTGAAACCCCCATCTCTACTAAAAATACAAAATTAGCCAGGTATGGTGGCACATGCCTGTGATCCTAGCTACTCAGGAGACTGAGGCAGGAGAATCGCTTGAACTTGGGAGGTGGAGGTTGCAGTGAGCTAAAATCATGTCACTGCATTCCAGCCTGGGCAACAAGAGCAAAACTCTGTCTCCAAAAAAAAAAAGAGATAGAGATAAAATTTGGGTAAGGCATGATGGTCATGTCTGTAACCTCAGCACATTGGGAAGCCAAGGTGAGAGGATCACTTGGGATCAGGAGTTCCAGACCAGCCTGGGTAACATGATGAGACACCCATCTCAGAAAAAAAGATAAATTTCAGCTATTTCACAGTGAAATGTTCACTTGTTTGGTTGTTTTGAATATCATGCTTTGGGATACAATTCAATTCAAATTTCAAACCATCACTATGAATCTGGAGCAGCTGTCTCAATCTTTTAATATAACCGGAGAGGCCGGGCATGGTGGCTCACGCCTGTAATCCCAGTACTTTAGGAGGCCAAGGCAGGAGGATCATTTTAGGTCAAGAGTTCAAGACCAGCCTGTCAACTTGGTGAAACCCTGTCTATACTAAAAATACAAAATTAGCTGAGTGTGGTGGCGCATGCCTGTAATCCCAGCTACTTTGGAGGCTGAGGTAGGAGAATTGCTTGAACCCAGGAGGAGGAGATTGCAGTGAGCCAAGATGGGGCCACTGCACTCCAGCCTGGGTGACAGCGAAACTCCGCTTAAAAAAAAAAAAAAAAGAAAAAGCATAACCAAAGAAAAGGATCATAGCATTCAAAGAATACAATATTATCATTTCCACAGACTCAAAAGTCCCATTTACCATAACCATAAACCATGACCTGCATCTCATTCATTAGTATTAATCTAAGCGTAGAGAAGTTAATTTTGTTTTTAAACAACAAAGGTATATTGTTCCATAAAATTAAAATGCAGAAAGCTAAGATATCAATGGTTCTTTTATTCTATAACTGACTTGTCATCTTAATATTTGAAAACTGTGGATGACATTTTCTCCATTTCCCAAAAGGACAAGTTAATGGCTCTACAGATCCATTTGGGAGTAACTCATAAGTCTGTCTACATTTTTTTCAATCTTTAAACTTCTACATTCCTTACTATTAAGGCAAGGAAGTAGTCCAAATTCAATCATAATTTCATGACCAGTCAATTGCTTCACAGTCACAACGTTAAAAGCTCTAAATGTGTGACTTACATCCAGTGGTTGGGAAGGTATTTTCAGCTTGGTGAGATGTGCTTTGCTGCTGGGCTTCAGCTCAGTCATGCTGTTGCCATGGGATTGGCTGCTGTAGTGCTCAGAAGACAGCTTTGGTTCCATGGACTCTTGTCCGTCCATGGGCCGCACATAGGCAGTGGGTTTCTGTAACATCGAGTTGGACTTTGACATCAATGAGGGTGGGAAAGATTGATTTGAGTGCTGCCCACTTGAAAAAGGTACACGGGAAGGAGAATCCCAGTTTGCATCAGGGTCCCGAGGCGATTTGGAGCGTTGATGTTCCTTACTATGGTGATCACTCCCATGAGACCTGGAATGACTAGAGCTTAATGAAGAAACAGCCTGGGGTTTTCCGGGGCTAGAAGAACGTGACTTGGAGTGTTCTGATCCATGCTGGCCTTTTTTCCGGCTACTGCTCACACTACTGTTATATGACTCACGGTCATGCCTCTGACTGCTACTATTAGTGCCACTACTACTACCTGCACTGGTCCGCTGGCTACTATGTCCACTCTGTAAGCCTGAGGACCGTTTCTGAGACTGAGAAGTGCTGGGTGCGGGTCCTACTGGAGTCCATTTGCTACTCTGATGAGAGCCTCCATGTCTCTGTTCAAAGAAATTTGGGTTAGATTTTTCATCTGCTGATGGTGGTACTGTAGGCTTGGGAATTGCAACAAGCTTTGGTATAGATCTGTCTCCTATGAAATCCTTCATTTCATCGTAGTTTCCAAGCATACTCTGAATACGGCTTGATAACTTATCTTCTTTGCTAGTCTACAAAAAAAATTAAAAAATAAAATTACATAATGAGCATATTAGAAATAAAATATGCTTCTGAACTAATTTTCCAAACTTCTAAATCAATGGAAAGGGGTTTTTTAAAGGGAGGCTTTACCTCATATCTTAATGTTAATACCTTGAAGCAAACTCCAAATATATCATTTCTGTAGTGAAAAAAAGAAAATCATTGAAAATTGTCTAAAAATAACCATGTTAAAATATAAGCCAAGTGCAGTGGCACGTGCCTGTACTTCCAGCTACTCCAGGCAGCTGAGGCAGGAGGACTATTCAATTCCAAGATTTTATACTATGATTGAGCGCCTGTGAATAGCTACTGCACTCCAGCACGGATAACATAGCAAGACTCTGTCTTTTAAATATATATAGTTTTTTGAAGGGCTGGGCGCAGTGGCTCACTCCTGTAATTCCAGCACTTTGGGAGGCCGAGGTGGGCGGCTCACCTGATGTCAGGAATTCTAGACCAGCCTGGACAACATGGTGAAAACCCATTTCTACTAAAAATGCAAAAATTAGCTGGAGGTGGCTGGACACGGTAGCTCATGCCTGTAATTCCAACATTTTGGGAGGCTGAGGCAGGCAGATCACCTGAGGTCAGGAGTTGGAGACAAGCCTAGCCAACATGGTGAAACCCCATCTCTACTAAAAATACAAAAATTAGCTAGGTATGGTGGCGGGCACCTGTAATCTAAGCTACTCAGGAGGCTGAGGCATGAGAATCGCTTGAACCCAGGAGGTGGAGGGTGCAGTGAGCCAAGGCTGCATTATTGCACTCCAGTGAGAATCCATCTCCAAAAAGGAAAAAATTAACCAGGCAAGGTGGTGCATGCCTGTAATCCGAGCTACTTGGGAGTCTGAGGCAGGAGAATCACTTGAACCTATGAGCCAGTGATGACAGTGAGCTAAGATCATGACATGGCGGTCACATCTGGATGAAAGAACGAGACTCCATCTAAAAAAACAAAGTCTTTTGAAGAACAGAAAAGTAAACTGCCTTTATAAAATTAAGTTCACAGGCCAGCAGATTAGCTAACATTTGTATTTTGGCAGTTTATGAAAATATTACATTCCTTATAATTCAATGTTATAGTTAGAAGCAGAAACAAAAATTTAGTGAAACAAGTTATACCCAAGTGACTCTATAACAGAAAAAGAAATCAGACTGATACTGAAAACACATTTATTCAAACATACTAATAATCTCTGAAACTCTGTAAACTAAGCAGCAAACGGCAATAAGTGAGGAGAAGAAACAAAAGCATCTATGAAAAACATTCATTTTTTATTGATACCATACTTAAAGAACACCTAGGAAAAATCAAACAATGCAAATTGAGTCACAAAATACTAATTTAATTCAAGGCTCAGAATGGTAAAGTACCTGCCCATGGTTAGTAGCACAACTAGGAAAATAGAGATAAATGTATGAGCCAACTCAGACCACATTTTTAAGAACACAGTACAGCAATAGGAGATGGGTTGGAAGACAACTTTTTGGGTGCTGGTAATGCTCTATTTCTTGATCTGAATGCTGAATGTATGAAGCTGCTGATGTTGTGAAAATTCTTCAAGCCATAACTCTTATTTTGTGTATTTTTTCTGTAAGCATATTATATTCCAAAGAAAAGTTTATTCCCCCAAAAAAGTATGTTATATGTAAAGGACAGGAAAAATGTTAAGTGGTATTCATAATAATTCTTTTCTAATATAAACATTCAAGTATGAAACATTTTAAAAGCAAAAATGTCATGCTAATGGGAAAAAAACATTCACAGAAGGACAACTTACAACTTTGTATGGCTCAGCAAAGAGAGGAGAACTAGGTGGGAAGGCGTCTTCGCCCTGCTGAATTTCCTGATTCCGCCTTTCCCGTTCTTTCATACGCAGCACATTCCGGTCTTCACGGTTCATGTTGCTATGAAAAGAAACACAATCTTTGTATCACAAAAATAAAAGGAAAAATAAAATATTCTGTACTGATTTTGTCAGCTTAACACTTCAATCACAGATTCCCTTTCAACTTCCAAGTAATAGAGGCATTAGTGCTGAAGTTGGGTTTTGGTAATGGTTTCATCAACAAATATCAATATTGTCTTCCACAACTATTCAGAGGAAACACTAGTCCGGAATATTAGAACCAACCCCAATAAAACTCTTAACCTTATCAACGTCTGAAGTACTCTGTTAGCTAAAAGGAGAAACTTGTACATTAAGAGGGAAGGTAGTATTTGAACACAAATCCTCAATATTTCCTTTTGGGGCTTCCTCTTCAGAAATCTACCTATTCTTTGCCCTTAGAAGCATAAAACCCACTCCCAACTACCACCCTTCCCCCCAGGGTCCAGTTCTTTTCTCTACTTTGCATCTACCTTATCTTGATTTCTTTTTGTCCCCAACACAGCTTCCTTGGTGTCCATCCTTATGGCAGTTTGACCTCAGCTTTGCTGTTGCTCTAGATTCCCTAAAAAACGACATTTCTGCTCTAAATATATTAATATTTCAATTAACACCTCAATAAATGGCAAAACCCAGGTTTTCAGTGATAGAATCTAAACTTAACTTGGGTAACAGTAACTAAAATTGTACTGTAAAAGACAGTCTTTGGAGTAGGGGAAAAAAATGGAAGTGTTATCGCTATAATCATGACAGTCTGTCTTATTTTCACCAGAACAAACCAAGAGAAATACAGTCAATTTATATTAGCAAGGATTTTGGTTAAATAGACAATGGTAGTAAAGGCTGTCAAACTCTGGCACTAGGGATTACCAGGGACTGTACAATACTCTTCCCTGTAGACATTAAATTATTGGACCCAGTTTTGTTTAAAAAAGAAAAAAAAAAAAAGTCCCACTAGAGCCCAGAAGGAAACAATCAAGTTATATGTATGGAGTATTTCTAGCCTATAATTCATAAATCAAATCAGAAAATTAATCAAAAACTATAGCTATAAAATTAGAATTAGTAACAAAACCAGTATTATATTCTTGGGTTTTTCTCTTGAAACAGAAACTTGCTCTATCACCCAGGTTGGAGGTGTGGTGGCGCAATCTCTAAGCTCACTGCAACCTACATCTTCCGAGTTCAAGCGATTCTCCTGCCTCAGCATCCTGAGTAGCTGGGATTACAGATGCAAACCAGTGAAGCTGGCTAAATTATGTATTTTTAGCAAACACAGGATTTTGCCATGTTGGCCAGGCTGGTCTAGAACTCCTGACCTCAAGCAATCTTCCCGCCTTGGCCTTCCAAAGTGCTGGGATTATAGGCATAAAAACAACGAAGCCTCCCCCAATACTATACTTTTTTTTTTTTCCCCCAGAAAAAAAAAAAAAACAGAGCTTTATTATTCTCAACACCAATGGCAGCAGTCTTTGTAGAACAGGCGAATAACTTTCTCGTGATCTGCCCGCCTTGGCCTCCCAAAGTGCTGGTATCACAGGTCTAAACCACGGCCCCCACCTTTATTTCCCCCCTCCCCCTCCCCCCACTCCTTACCCAGGCTAGAGTGCAATGGTGCGATCTCAGCTCACCACAACCTCCACCTCCTGGGTTCAAGCAATTCTCCTGCCTCAGCCTCCTGAGTAGCTGGGATTACAGGCATGTGCCACCACATCCGGCTAATTTTGTATTTTCAGTTAGAGACAGGGTTTCCCCATGTTGGTCCCAAACTCCCGACCTCAGGTGATCCGCCCGTCTCAGCCTCCCAAACTGCTGGGATTACAGGCCTGAGCCACCGTGCTGGCCCTTTTGACTTTTTAAGAAGGCTTCATTACATAGGCATGAATGATTAAATCACTGGCCATTGGTGATCAATTCAACCTTCAAACCCTCCCCCCAGAGGTGGGGGGTAGGGCTATGAGTTCCAACCCTATGAGCATTAGGTTGGTTCCCCTGGCAACCATTCCTCTACCATGTGGTTACCAAGGGACTTTCCAAAAATCACCTCATTAAGGTAAGCTCAGGTGTGGTTGAAAGGGGCTTGTTAAAAATAACAAAACAGTGCCTTTCACCATTATCCCTCCAGAACTGTTCACAGTTGTTTCAGACACCAAGGACAAAAGGCCAAACATTTTAACAAAAGATATTCTTACTGCTCTATCATTTAGAAAATTACAAGGGTTATAGAAGCTGGGAGCCAGGAACCGTAAACAAAAACCTAAAAATATGTATATATTTGTTTATAATTAATGTATCGACTGAACAATAAGTAATTCACGGGCACTTAAAATAATTTACCTTAAAAAATTAACAGTTTTGACCAGGGGTGGTGGCTCACGCCTGTAATCCCAGCACTTTGGGAGGCTAAGGTGGGCAGATTGCTTGAGGCTGGGAGTTTGAGACCAGCCTGGCCAACATGGCAAAACTCTGTTTCTACTAAAAATATAAAAATTAGCCGGGTGTGGTGGCAGGCACCTTGGGAGGCTGAGTAAGTTAACGTTCATGTGCTCTTGAACCTGGAAGGCGGAGGCTGTGGTGAACCAAGATTGCGCCATTACACTCCAGCCTGGGCAACAGAGAGCAAGACTGAGTCTCAAAAATAATAATTGTAACAGTTTTAGGCCAGGCACGGTGGCTCATGCCTGTAATCTCAGCACTTTGGGGAAGACAGGTAGATCGCTTGAGGTCAGGAGTTCAAGACCAGCCTGGGCAACATGGCATAACTCCATCTTTACTAAAAACACAAAAATTAAGGCTGGGCACAGTGGCTCATGCCTAAAATCCCAGCACTTTGGGAGGCCGAGGCAGGTAGATCGCTTGAGATCAGGAGTTCAAGATCAGCCTGGCCAACATAGTGAAACCCCGTCTCTACTAAAAATTAAAATATTAGCGGGGCATGGTGGCGTGTGCCTGTAATCCCAGCTACTTGGGAGGCTGAGGCAGGAGAAATCACTTGAACACAGCAGGTGGAGGTTGCAGTGACCCAAGGTCATGCCATTGCACTCTACCCTGGGTGAGAGAGTAAGGCTCCATCTCAAAAAATAAAAATAAAAATAAGAATTAATGCTGATCCTTCACAAACACTCCTGAAAAGAGGAGAAAGAAACACTCCAATTCATTCTATGAGGCCAATATTTATCAAAACGAGACAAAGACATTACAAGAAAACTATAGATCAATAAAACCTTATAATTACAAAAATCCTCAACAAAATACTAGCAAACTGAATACAGCAATATATACAAAAGATTATACACCATGATCAAGTGAGGTTTATCTCAGGAACATGGGTTGCTTTAACACCTAAGACCAGCTAACATAGTATACCACAATCAGTTAATGTAATATACCACAACAATATAGTAAAGGGAAAAAAATCATACGATTGTCTCAACAGAGGCAGAAAAAAAATGTGACAAATTTTAACACTCTTTCTTAATAAAAACACTCCACAAACTAGGAATAAAAAAGAATTTCCCCAAACTAATAAAGGGCATCTACAAAAAAACCCACAAACTGGGCAGGTTGGCTCACACCTGTAACCTTGAACTTTCAAAGGCCCACGGGCAATCAAAAGGTCAGGAGTTTGAGACCAGCCTGACTAACCTGGTGAAACCCATTTCTACTAAAAATACAAAAATTAGCCAAGCGTGGTGGCACGTGCCTATAATCCCAGCTACTCAGGAGGCTGAGGCAGGAGAACCGCTTGAATCCAGAAGGCAGAGGTTGTGGTAAGCCGGGATCACGCCATTGCACTCCAGCCTGGGTGACAGAGCTAGACTCCCTCTCAAAAACAAAAAAACAAAAAACCCCACAGCTAATACCATACTTAATGGTGAGACACTGAATGCTTTCCCCCTAAGATCACGACAAGGATGTCTGCTTTCACCACTTCAACACCTGTGACTTCTTCTAGCCAGGGCAATTAGGCAAGAAAGAAACGAAAGCCATCAAACTAAACAGAAAGAAGTAACATGATGAGTGCTCGCTTCGGCAGCACATATACTAAAATTGGAACGATACAGAGAAGATTGGCATGGCCCCTGCATAAGGATGACATGCAAATTCGTGAAGCGTTCCATATTTAAAAAAAAAAAAAAAAAAAAAAAGAGAAGTAAAATGATGACACTGTATATAGAAAATCCTAAAGAATTCACTTAAAATCTATTAAAGCTAACAAATGAGTTCAGCAAGGTTGCAGGATGCAACACTAATACACAGAAAATCAGATGTATTTCTGTATGGTAGCAATAATCAAACCAAAAATGAAATTAAGAAAGCAATTCCAAGCCAGGCATGGTGGCTCATGCCTGTAATCCTAGCTTTGAGAAGCTGCGGCGGGAGGATTGATCAAGTCCAGAAGTTCGAGACCACCCTGGGCAACTTAGTGAAACCCAGTCTCTACAAAGAATAAAAAAATTAGCTGGGCGTGGTGGTGCGTGCCTGTAGTCCCAGCTACTCGAGTAGCTGAGGTGAGACAATCACCCGAGCCTGGAAGGTGGAGGCTGCAGTGAGCCATGATGGCACCACTGTACTCCAACCTGAGTGACAGAGTAAGACCCTACCTTAAAAAAAAAAAAAATTAGTCATCCATACTAGTGTGTACCTATAGTCCCAGCTACTTGGGAAGCTGTGGTGGAAGGATTGCTTCACCCCAGGAAGCTGAGGCTGCAGTGAGCCGTGTTCTCACCATTGCACTCCAGCCTGGGTGACAAGAGTGGTCCCGTTTCTTAAAAAGATAAAAAAGAAAAACTCAGCTGACTTCTTCGCAGAAATTCACAAGCTGATCCTTAAATTCAAAAGATCCAGAATACTCAAAACAGCCTTGCAAAAGAACAAAGTTAAAAGACACACACTTGGCTGGGCACAGTGGCTCACGCCTGTAATCCCAGAGCTTTGGGAGGCTAAGGTGGGTGCATCACAAGGTCAAGAGTTTAAGACCAGCCTGGCCAACATGGTGAAACCCCATCTCTCAAAAAATACAAAAAATTAGCTGGGTGTGGTGGCAGGCACCTGTAATCCCAGCTACTTAAGAGGCTAAGGCAAGAGAATTGCTGGGAGGCGGAGGTTTCAGTTAACCGAGATCACACTATTGCACTCCAGCCTGGGTGACAAGAGCAAAACTCCGTCTCAAAAAAATAAAAATAAATGAAATCACCATGATCTTTTTTGCATCAGGTTTGCAACCAAGAACACAGGTCAGTTGAAAAAACCACCCCTAAAAGCCAAAATGGGAAAGGAAGGCCCTTACCAATATCACTGTTACTGAACACATACACTCAGGCAAGTCCACCACTACTGACCATCTGATCTACAAATGTGGTGGGATTAATAAAAGATCCATCAACTAACGAGGCTACTGAGATAGGAAAGGAGTCCTTCAAGTATGCCTGGGTCTTAGATAAACTGAAAGCTGAGTGTGAGTGTAGTGGCACTGCTGATAGCTTCCTGTGGAAACTTGAGATCAGAAAGTATTATGTGACTAGTTGATGCCCCAAGACAGAGACTTTTTAAAAACATGATTATAGGCACATCTCAGGCTGACTGTGCTGCCCTGACTGTTGCCAGTCATGAATCTGAACCTGGTATCTCCTTCTGACTTACACACTGGGTGTGAAACAGCTAATTGTTGGAGTTAACAAAATGGATTCCACTGAGCCACCCTACAGACAGAAGAGTTACAAGAAAGTGGTTAAGGAAGTCAGCATTTATAATAAGAAAGTTGGCTACAACCCAATATAGTAACATTTGTGCCAATTTCTGGCTGGAATGATGACAACACGCTAGGGCCAAGTGCTAACATGCCTTTGTTCAGGGGATGGAAAGTCACCTGTGAAGATGGCAATACCAGTGGAAACACCCTGCTTGAAGCTCTGGATTGCATCCTACCACCAACTTGTCCAAGTGACAAGCCCTTATGTCTGCCTCTCCAAAATACCTACAAAATTGGTGGTATTGGTACTGCCTCTGTGGGCCAACTAGAGACTGGTGTCAGCATAGCGGTCACCTTGGCTCCAGTCAACAGTTACAACTAAAACCAAATCTGTTGCAATATACCATGAAGCTTTGAGTGAAGCTTTAC